ATATTCAATCGCGAACTTGTAAGGATCTATTCCTATATGCGTGTTGCCTTGAGCATTCGGTAACATGTCGCGCGACGTCCTAGACATTTGTTATCCGATGACGTCACCTGTTGACGAAATTTACAGTCAAAGGTTAACAAGGCCTTGTAATTGATAGTTGTACACCTATTCCTAGACCTTGGTCACCCAGAGAGAGATTTCTTACCAAATAGCTTCATAAAATTCACGTAACATCGCTGTGATCCACCTGTTTCCTTCAATCTTCGGTATTATTTATATCCATCCCGAGACTGTAACGACCGCCGAATAATGAAATGATCCGGAATTCACGTAGTAAATAAGGAACACGAGAACGGCACGATAGATCATGTTGCCTGATCTTTTACGACGCGCATCCATCAGATCGGAGATTATAGATCGGAACCAGAGATGGGCAAATTCATTATCTGGCGAATCAAAAAATGTTGAAAAAAGCTTCAAAGGTTAAAAAGGAAATACTTAATTTTTGATCGTTTAAACCGTGAAAATTCAAATTCTTATAATAAAATAGTGTTTCTTCTCGAACGAGTAGACGCTTTGCAAACAATTATTTAATCTCAGTAACTGTTTCAAGGTGAGACGATCCTACATAATACACTGCTTCTTTTCCCTACGTATTATTCCAATAAAATTCTGCCCAACTCTGATCATAACACCTCGCCGTACGGAATATCCCAATTGCTTAAATTCTGGCGGAAAACGTTAAATGATAAGCATGTTAAAAATCCGGTCCTCGAGACATCGGTATTTCCTCAAACTGTCAAGTCGAATAATCGTCGAATGATTACACGGTAAGGATAGTTCTAAAACAAATCGGAAAACTTTACAGGAGTTTCTAGTTTCGGGAAATAAGATCTCACCTTCGAACTATCCCTTTCGTTTCTCATCTACGGGTCATCGCCCGCGACAAGGACAGGTATGGTCGGTCAAAGATAAACACGCTTGCGGTCTGATTTTCTGATTGTTATTATCAGCACATGGTAGTTTCGCGTCCATCTCACGAAGTAAGGTTTCAGACAAAAACGTCAACAATTACAAATCAGAAAAAATAATAATAATTGAAGACACGGAGAGCTTATCTCGGCCGACGGGAGGGAGCCGCTTACCCCCCACGGACGACCGCCTAGAAGCCAGTTCCAAAATAAGAGCTGAATCGTTTATAATACAAGTTCGTAATACACAGAGGCGATAACGAGTAAATCGTTACAATATTGTAAAATATCACAACGTTAATATCTGCCGGATAGGAGGGGGGGAGAGGGGTTCGGGCACGGATGAAAGGTCGAGAACGCACGGGACGAGGTTTACGAACGAATATGAAAAATCCTGAAAAGAAAGAGAGGAGCTCCAATCGACTACGAATTTTTCGGGGCATCGATCACACACACACACACACACACATATATATATATATATATACACAGACACACACTCGCTCACACAGCACAGATGCCTCTCGCACGAGAGTCGTGCCTGTCACCTTGAATCTCTCAGACAACGCCTAGGTCCGTTTGGTAACGCGCACAGAAGCACAGTTTGCCCCGAGACGCGTTACAAAATCCTTTTTCACGGCCGCGAATCGAGACAAACTGACCGCCGCGACTCTCGTCCTATGGAAACCAGTCTTACGGGAGACACGAGGAAGGATTTATCGCGATATCAATCAAAAGAGGATCAAGCTCGAGAGACGAGGGAAAAGATCGCCTTTATAAGGTCAGCGCCCCTAACCGCGTGGAGTCTCGAACTGAGTGTTTCACGCGGAGCACTGTGACACGGATTTTTCCGGGGTGGAGGGGGATCTAAGTATTAAGAGGTAAACACGACGAAATGTCTCCTGTCCTCGCGACGTTCTCGACTACGCGTAACTTCGACACTGATAAACCTGGATCGAACGAAACGGAACGTCCATTGAGTCTGGTGGGAGGGAGGGTGGGAAGGTACGCGATTTGAAACTGCCTGGGAACAGCATGGTCAGAGGGATGAAATACGGAAACGTAAAAAAAAGAGACGATCGTCGACACGTATTAACACGGGGGACATACACACACCGACTCATCCAACGACGCGGCGTCGTTCCAAATGAAAAATCTTCTAGCACTTGCGATCATGAAAAAATAGAATGCGCTATACGGATGGATCGCTGCCCCCCTCCGCTACATAGTATACTCCTCTCTCTGGCGGCAATTCTTGGCGCGCGAGAACTCGCGGTGTAATCGTTACGGTGAGTCGTTCGGACAAGCATATAGAAAAATACTGTAATCGAAAATAGATGAATAGAAAAGAAAGGAACGAAAGAAACGGAGAGCTGGAGGACGAAACGGGGGAGGAATGGAACGACGGAGTTCAGAGGCTCTCTCTGTCACAATTCACCGAGTTTAATCACTCTCTGGGATAAGGCCCCCCCTCCCTTACAATTCACGAAATTCGAGAAGCTAGTCACGAAGGCACCACACGACCGACGACCGGCCCAAACAAGAATGGAAGTCCCAAGGACCTTGTTCACAGTTGTATTCGGGGCAAAGAATACTGACTGCTCAAGTTCGTTGAATGGTCATCATCCCCCCCCCCCACCAGTTCTGGCTAAATCAAGTCGTCCTGACCTTCTGTGTGTCTCTTTGCTTTGAAACACAAGAAGGATTAGACCCTCGCGAAATGACCTTACCTATCCAGCACACGTTACCCCGAAACACAAGCTTTCTCTATATTCAGCGCTTCCTTCGACCTTGACGAAGATAGACAAGTCACGTATAGAACACGTGTGTGTCGAAGGAACCTTGTCATCCACACGTCACTCAGTCTCTGCGTTAATACTGCGATGAGGAAAAAAGTAAAGAAATCTGGAGGTTCATTGGAATGGACCGGACAATTCCTCCTCCTCCCCCGAAACCTGCTCCTCGTTACGCCGGTGGTTGTCGCGCGAAATACTGACTGCGAGAGAGAAAGCCTCGAAGCTCCTAGACTGGAGAGTAGAACTAAGGAAATCGTGGAACGGCCAAACCGTCACGTTTGGGCAAGGAACTCGAAAGGTGAGGAGGATGGGGACAATCGTCGAATAGTCCCACGAGTTCTCCAGAGCGTTCTGGCGCCGGAAACCTTTGTCCGTCGGGTTGCGCGGGGACCGGAAACGAATGGGGGGAACGCGGGCTTAAGAGACTGACTCTGTTTGGAGCTGAAAGCGGTTTGTGCACACGATATTACTGGCTTGTCACGCACTTTTTTGCTTCTTCGTTTTTTCTTCTACGTTTTCCGCGTTCTGAACCGAACACGGAATCAAGGGCTGGCCGCAAGGATGCCGAGGACAGAGTGAGAAAGAGAGTAACCGGCTCGGATCGATTCATCGTTTGTTTCCGCGCGTTTACCGTTTCGCTATCGGTGGTCCTTGCGCCCGCTGGAAGTATTCGCCATCTCGAAGTTTTCAGGCACACCTATATATACAGAACGGTCTTTGCCCCCCGTCATCTCGCTCTATTTGCTCGACTGCGCACGCGAGCGCGCGCTTCGTCACGGCGATTATACAGGTGACTCGAGAATCCTCGGGGGGGGAAAAGAGTAGCCGTATCGTTAGACCGGAGGAGAAGCAGCGAACTAAGGCTCTCGGGGCACTTCGTCAATTTACGTGTATCCGGCATAGACACACCGATCTCGTACCCGTAATATCGTCGTCTATCTCTACAAACATGGGTGTAGCCAGGGGGGCAGAGGAGGCACTTGTCCCCTTCCCTAAGGGGAAAAAAGTGGCCTTTGCCCTACCTTAGAGGGAAAATACATTGGATTTTACCCCCAGCCCATCAGAGAAGAAAAATATTAAATGAATTAATATTTTGTATGTAAAAATAAATCTAACATTCATTTAACGTAATATTATGAAATTTACCTTAAGATAAATTTTGTCCCCTTCTGACTGATAACCTGGGTACGCCCATGTCTACAAATGCTCACAAACCCTTGATATATATATACATGTATATATTACAGTTCGATCAAAATCGATTCTGGCCGTTTTCTGTCTCTCGACGCGACGGGAAATGACGAGATATCGAACGGTCAATTTGATCCTGGTCCGTTCAACGCACCAAAAGATTGTACACAGTTCTTTTTTTCGCGAGTTCGTCGCCTCTCGCTCCTGTCCCCCGATATCAGCTATAACACCAGCCATTTATCTACATAACAATTACTAACGGCTATATGTACAACGAATCGCGCGCTAATGCAATCGCCACGATTGCACCGGAACGGAAAAACCGAAGGCGGGAGAGGTTTTTGTCACCTTTTCGTTTGTTCGCCGAGTGACGCGAGCGGGAAAAAAGTATACGATCGCGAGAGAAAGAGGATAGTGGGGAGAGTATAATAATTACAGAGTAATATCACGGTGAACGTCCAGCCTCGAGAATTAAATAATCTGTGGCACACTGTTTCGTTGGTGAATCCCGTTCCACCGATTCGAACCGTCTACCGAATATGGAATCGTAGTTTTTTTTCTTAACGGGGTGGGAGTGGGTAGTAAGAGGGGGGAGATACAATCAGCAATATAGTTCGCGGTCTCCGCGACACGAAGCGACGCCTCTTTCTCTTGCAAACGGTCGCTAAACGCGAAAGAACGTAGCGAACCGCGAGGGCCAAAAAGGGATGATAAAAAGGAAACGAAGAAAACGTTGCGAAAATATGGTACACGGAAAATACTATAAAGTTGGGAGCGGAGTCCGAGAATAAAAATAAATACGTCTTCGCCAACAGTCGTAGAGACATCGACACCGCGAATCCGCGGTTCACACGAGCAATTAGAATAAACCCGACGCAATTAACATACATGTATATATGTATATATTAAATTGTACCTTAAACACGATAGCGAACGCGACGAAAGAAAAGAAAAAAGAAAAAAAAAAGGAATCGTTTTTTTTACTTGTAAAGTTTTGTACGTGTAATCGCTCTCTCTCTCTCTCTCTCTCTCTCTCTCTCTCTCTCTCTCTCTCGACGCCTTCGCACGAGAAGTCGTGGTCGTAACACAGTATCGCAGCCTCGATTTTTCGTTCGAGGCGTCCAAGGATCTTTTCACAGAGTTTCGAAAGTCCACCACCTATCTATAGGTGACTGTCGTGATCAATCGTTCCGGCGGACGCGACAAAGGAACCCGTTAGTGAACACAGGCAGACGAAATATAGTTAAGCATCGACAGGCGGGCGGACGGGCACTGTTCGACGATTGTTTAAACATTTACAATGTAAATCCTAGTCCACGTTCGTGGATACATTCTTCCGATTTTTTTTTCTTCCTCTCTCTCTCTCTCTCTCTCTCTCGTTCTCCCGCTCTTTGTGTGTACAGACTACGCGGCGGCGGCGCGATCGCGACACGACACTAAAAACCTAGCCTCTGGGGACTCGATCGTACGAACACGCTTTTCGCTCGCTCGCCTGAGACAATCATCGTTGTGCCTCGACTTCTTTCCACGGAAGAAAATACACGCGCGTGCTTGTCTTAACCTAGTGTACTGATTAACGAACGCGCGACCCCGAGGTCACGGTTGTTCGCGCAGAGCTGCGCCCCGTAACACGGTCCACACAGACAATGCGATTTATCGTACTTCAAGTGTCGCAGACAGTTGTTACAAATCGACGGATTTTTAACATGTACGATATGATCGCGTCGCGTACAACCGTTCTAGAAACGTTCCATCTGTCCGTCAAACGGTCGAAGCAACTTACGTCGAATAATTAGTACGATAAATCGAATCGTCTGTGGACCCTTAACACTTGCTCATAACCTCCCTCCGAGGCGTATCAGTTCCAATGTTCACACGGAATTCGTTTGTCACCGTATCCGACGAAACAATGACGGAGTCGACCGGGGAATCTCTCGAGAATTCTCTCGATTTCTCTGTATACACCGAGAAACAGCGAAATGGGCCGTGGTTGGGGAAAAAAAAACAAATTATACATACATACAGGAAAAATTTGAGCTCGATCGCTGATAAGTCGATGATCCCCTAACCGTTCAAGCATCGAAACACCGCCCCCCAACGGGACAGCGAGTATGTGTCCTGTGTATGTGCAAACGGAAGGGATCAATTTTTCGGGAGAACTATAGAGAGAAATAGAAAGAGAGCTCGAGAAGATCCTCATGATCGCGAATTTTTTATTCCCCTCCCTCGGTGTGTGTCCTCCGACGATTCCCTCGTCCGGTACCGCGACGGTATCTGTCCACGTGAGACTACCGAGGCTCGCAGGCCTCGTAGGCGAGCTCTGGCACCAGGGCCAACGAGAACGTGGCGCTGGCCTGTCTTGCGTACTGCCTCCTCGTCGTGTTGGCTTCGTGTTACCTATTATTCTCCTCCATCACGACCTGCTTGAACACACCGGCGGGCATCTGGCTCTTCACCTCGTGGCTGCCCAGCGCGGTTGTCCCGTCCTTCGCGATGAACAATTGTAGCCCAGTCGCTGAAACAAACGCAATCGAACATCGAAATGTTACCATCGACTTCGCTGAATTTCTAGCAACCGGTTCCTCTACTTAATTGGTTTCCCCTTTGACACGTAGACGGACAGACGAACGGATACCTCGTTATAATACTTTTTATTACGACGTTAATTAACTGCGGCGCGTAAACGGCGACCTTGATACGTAGTTACGTATGTATACACGTCAGGGGACCGTGGCAAGTCGAGCGTGCCTCGAGTGTGATCTTTGAAATATTATTCTGGCGTCAAAGGTCCCCGAGGCCATTACCCAAACCGCGGAACGCGCCAAGGTTGGAATTAAGATATGAATCTCGACGGAACAGATACATATCGAATCTTGTTTTCTGCGTGTTTTGTTCGGTAGAATGGAAAACCTGAACGGAGCCTACTGGAAGGCCTCCAGGTCTATGGGAACCATTAGAGTCAATTCCGAAACTACCAGAGTCTCTGGGAAACTTTTGAGTCAATTCCGAAAGTATCAGAGTCTCTGGGAAACTTTTGAGTCAATTTCGAAAGTCCTAGAGTCTCTGGGATACTTTAGAGTCAATTCCATGCTCAGAGTCATTGGGGAAGGTTGATGCTATCTTTAAAATACATTCCGACGTTAAAGGTCCTCGATGCCATTACCGAAACTGCGGATTATTCAAGGCTGAAATTAAAATGCTAATCTTAACGAAACAAGAAATATATCGAATTCCCTCCCTCCTTGCGTCTTTCGTTCGATTAAATGAAAAACGAAACGGAGCGTCTAGGGAGCTGAAAGAGTAAAATTCCAAAAATAAAGTAGCGTTTTGTTTTTTAAACGTTCACCGTACGGATCATTCTGTTGGATATTTAAGATTCCACGAAGAAACTGGTCTCGAAATTCATCCGTCCGTGTATGCGTTCGAGGTTCGAAACCGGGGAAGCGAAACCCACAAACGGAAATCTAAATATAAACGAAATCAGGAGGGGAACGTACTCTCGGAGCTCTCGAGATCCGTTTGTTCCAGATTCGTTGCTTTGATTAGCTCGTCGATCAGGGAGTCCGGGTTCGGCCTGGTCACCTCGACCCTGCACAGGATTGGATTCCCCGTCCCGTCCTCTGCCTTTTTCCTGCGTTCCAGGGCCGCCTTCGCTCTGTCCAACGAACCCGTCTCGCTGAGACCCGAGCCTCCGGATGGATTTCTGCGAAAAAATAAACAGAAACCGACCGACCATCATAATTCGCGGTTCCAATAACACTGTTCTACTGGATCATCGGAATATATCGATCTGTCGAGCACTGGCGCGGAAACAACGTGTACACCAATCGATCGCTAATCGAAACAACACGACGAGGTAGCAGTGAAAAAAACCTGCTCGTCGATTGACTGTTAACAAGATGCAGTATCATTAGATATACACTAATCGGTTAAAATGTATTCGTCGTCAATATGTATAGAATCATTAAAAGAACGAAAAAAAAAAAAAACAGCTAAGAATCATTAAGGTGGTGTTCAGAAAAAGGACAAATTGCTCGAAACGTAACACTTTGGTTGTAGCTCGAGGCTTTTTAATGGTAGTAGAGAGAACGCTAATTCCACGCCAGTATCGTCGTCTCGTTTTTGGTAGATTCCAAAAATGTTAATTAATATTCTGCGACACACCGCGTGCAGTGACGAGCTTGTGCGATATGCAGAAACAGAATAGAATGGGGAGTAAACGATAAGTAAGCAGTGGTGGCACACTATCAACACGTTCTCGAGGTGTGGACAGTTAAACGCTGGGCGGGGAAGAGACTGATGGACGAAAATAAGCAGATTAGTGTGAATAGTATGTATATGTGCGCGTATGTGTGTGTGTGTGTATGCAAGAAACAGCGAGATTAAGTATTCCAATAGGGGAATATGTATGCTTGGAGATTGCGTTCGCATGCAATAAGCCACAGGGAGGATCGTGCGACGTGAATCGAGCCGAGGGATCAAGGATCCAGATCTGTTCAAGGATCAGGAACCTTCAAAGTCATTTACGCACGTATATTCCATGACAAAACCGTTGACTCTCGAAGGCAAATTGTAATCTTGAACAGATCCCAGACCGTAACAAACGTGCAACTCTTAAGCGCTTGAAACGATTAGTTATACGAATAATTTAACAGACGTATATGCTTCCCGGAAGCTGCACTTTGCCGCACTAATGACCATGAAAACAAAATGAAAAAAACCGGATGAATTATTCCGCGCAGGAGGTGTCGACGAAGAGAGACTTTGACCATTTTGTAACTGCTGTAAAATTAAATGACTAGTAGGATACACGTGAATATTTATAGTTATGTAAATCCCGAGCAGAACACGAAACAAGACGAGGAGTCGTATAATGTTGCATGAATTGTAATACACCCCATAAATTCCAAGATGCAAAAACGATCGATTCCGCATTTTTTTATCACAAACACTCTGTCATCGACAGACCGGACAGCTTGTGCAAGGATGCTGGTTTCGTGTTCGACGCCCGACGCGTCGAGATTCGGGAAGGCATCGCAAACGGACCGGGGAACAACCATTTGAGGCCCACGTTCACCATTCTCAAAAAAAAACTGATCATCGTGCTGAAGAAAAAAAAAAAACTAAAAAGGAAGGTTCGTTCTCCGAAAAGAAAAAACGATCACCGACTAGGGAGCCATCAACGATTCCAAAAGCCACGAATTTCCAACGAACGCAAAACCCCTCGATCACGGAGAGACGTACACCGACGTTAATATTTATGCTGTCCGAATATCTCTACGATGCAAAAGTCGTTTTTATACGTTATCGTGATTTTCGTCAATTAACACGGTGGATTCGAAGGTTTACCGTGCCGTTAACACCTCGCGAACGGGTAAATCCCTCCCACGGTTGTTTTACCTCAAAATCCGTGTCTGTACATAAAATTCACAGTGACGGCAGAGCGCATCGATCGGGTACAAAGGTAACAAAAATATAATGTACGCGTTTGTCTATCGCCCTCCTGTACTTTGCAAGAAACAAACAAAGTTGTACAAACACCTAAAACAGGCGTAGTCTCTTCGATCAGCGTGTGAACGCATTCCGATTGCGTTGTGTTCTGTATCGACGAATCGACGTTAAAGAAACCAAATGTTCGCGGTCGGGAAAGCCCGATCGGATTCCTGGAAAACGCGTTCGTGAAAAGTTCACGAGGTGTCAATGCCGATGATCTCCCATTTGTGTCTCCGTGAACGTGGAAGAGCAGAGGGGGGCCAAAGCGAAGTAGGGGAACTCACACAGGTGGCGCACGCAACACATAACAACAACAACAACAAAAAAAAGAGACAAAGGGGGTCAGAGATTAAAGAAGACGAAAGCATGGACTGACGGTGGGGTTATGCTGTTTCGGTGCTGGGAGCTCGGTGGAACGAATTCCGGTACTCCTAAAGAGGACTCCTCGGAGTCCGCTGGGCTGGTGGCGACCGTAGCCAGCTTGCCCCCCGCCCCGTCCAGCAACTTCCGGTGGCCTCCGCCGATACCTCTGCAAGGATTCACAAAGCCATCCAAACTGGAAGCAAAGCTAACGCTTCCTTTCCTCTCCGTTTTTCGCTTCCTTTCCCTTTTTTCTCCCCGCCACTTCCTTTGCCCCGCTAGACTTAAACCCCACTTACAGGATGTACATCGCGGCGAATTGCGTTTCAACACCCCTTTGGCTAACATCAGGTCGCCCCCGAAATAAAGACCAATCAGTTTAAGCCGAGAAATGTACGTTAAGTTACTAAAAAATACGGACAAGCTCAATTACAGATATTTTGCTTAGAGTTCGCAACCGACGTGAATTCGTTTTGTTTTTTTAAGCTTGTAACGTTCCTCGGGAAAATTATTATCATTCTGTATGCAAAACAGGTGACGCATATAGCTTAGAATCCGACGACTGCGAAAACGTCGCACGACATACATCCTTCCCTCCTCTACAGACAATAATATGTAAACAGAGTCGCCATCTACGAGTTTCCCTTGGCGTTGACCTGTTTCGTGGATGCATTTCGTTAACATTTCATCGGTACAGTGTTTAATTACGAATCTTAGAACGCAAATTATATCGGTTCGCGTCGAGTAACACGATTCAATGGATGCAGTTGCTGGCTTACACTCAATTTCTAATTGAAATTCGCGTCACAATATGCCTTTTCATGTTGTAACTTTGAATAGCTCACGCTCCATTTTTACGCTCCACCGATACAATTTTGTTTCCCAGTACTTGGACCATACGTCCCCTCGGCTTTACATTTAACGAAATACATCCATACTTTGGTGAAGCTGTTACATCGTAAATATACAGTTGCCTTGAGTAGGCACAGTTTTGCGGACACGAAATCGGTAACCCCGATAAACCATAACTTTCTTTTTTTTTTTTTAACATTTTCCAGCGATCACACGCAATTGGCAGGGAACAGTACCGTTTCACGTGTCATTATCACGAGGAACGATCGGGAGTGTCGTCTATGATCGCGGATCGCGTCGAATATAGCAGGCTCTAGTCGATTCGCGGTTAATGAAGCGAAGCGGTGTGTGGCTCAACTCGCAGGCTGGTGTGTGTGTGTGTGTTTGTCGCCTGGTTCAGTCGACGACCGCGACTGAGTGTGATCAATAAGCGGTTAGACTATAATATCGACGCAGTTCGTGTGTACACCGATCGTTAATTGTCTCTCGTTTACAAGCATCGGTTTCAAGGAACTTCTTAATCGATAAATGAAGCGTGACAGAAAGTGAACGCAATGGACGGTGTAGAATCACACGATTTATCACCGAAAGGTAGAAACACATTTTTTGTTTTTAAACGAAAGAACCAATTTCTTCGATAAAATCGTGTGTTTCTAACGGTACCAAATCGATCGAAACAGAAAATAACACAGAGCGGGGTCCAGGAATATGGGCGTCTCTCGTTAACTGGATACACACACTGGGAAGAAACACTTTCACACACGCACATTCGTCCAGAATTACAATACACTCCGTAAAGGGTACACGTCAACGAGTATCGTCGAAACCAACGACAGAGTTTCCGTTGCCGAGGGTGTACAACAAAGATAGTTCTTCATTATCCGAACGCACAACATCACCTCAACGGAGAGAAGGGATGGAATGGGGGGTTGAAGACAGATAGGCCGATGGATTCAAAACTAAACAAGACTCGTACAAGAGAAAGTCTTAACGATGAATGAAACCTACCTGAGGGTCTGAGCGGTCGTCGCGGAACGTAGCGAGGCTCTGGGGTTATCGGGCCTATGGAGGGGATCTGGGGAGGAAACGGCTCTGGCCTGGTCGACCAGCCGCAAAACCGGGCTCGTTTTGCCCTTCTCGATACAGTCGCAGGTTTTCGAGATGTTCCGCCAGCCGGACTGACCGATCCGCGGCTTTGCGACCGGAACGATCACCACGCTGCTGTTGCACTGCTGTTGTCCCGCCGCGTTACGATCCATTCCACCGATCGTCGTAGAATTTGCGACTGCGATGGCGACAATGTTACGCTCGTTACGTAAATCGAAGCTGTTCCTTTCGTAATTCTTCAACCGCGAGTGTCGCGGCACGTCCTGCGGTCCTGGTACCCTGAACACGCCTATCATCGCGTCGTTGCCGGCGTTCACGTCGTCCGGGTCGGCGTGACGAACAACGTTGTTCGCGACAACACCGTTCCTGGACGCGATTTCGTTCGGTTTGGCCGCGCAAGAGTGACGTCCGGCCGCGAGCCTGGTCGACGACGACATCCTCGAATTCCGCGAGTGCGGCGCCCCGTCTGTTTTTCCATCGCGGGACGACAGAGGGCTCGAGCCAGACCAGAACCGATTACGTGGATCCGATGGTAGCATCATGGAAGACAAGGAGGACGGGGAGTCGGAGTCAAGACAGGAGACGGTGATTGTGGTCTCGGGTTTTGCGGGCTGCTGACCCGGGGGCAGGTTCTGAGAGGGGTTCGGGATACGTGGAGCCCATACCGGCCAGGAGGGTGACCTATAAAGATCACAACACAAATATTCAAGCATGCAAAATAATAATAATAATAATAAACCCGCGAACACGACGGTATATCGTAGAGATATACGGAAATCGGAGTGGGGGTTTGAATGGGGTGTACAGACAAAAAAAAATGTATGTATAGACACATGTGGGAAAAGAGAATCCAGAGTCTCTAGTGAAAGAAAGAAAAAAAAAAAAGAATCAAGTGATGAGAGAAGAAGTTTTCCTCCGAAATCTTGATGCTCTTTTTGGTTAACGAAATGCGAGGCTAGAATCCGTAAATACGTGTAGAAGTACCAGCAGACCGTCAGTTGTGAGATTCAGCGTTAATTGTGCGCGCGTTGTGTATTTCTGTTTTCGTTAGGCGATAGAGACCTTTTCAGGTGAAGATTCTACAGAGAGATCGGTACTCGATGGACAGAGGAGCGTAGAGTTCTAGAAGCGAGATTCGTAAGCGCGCGACCGCATCGATTTTTCAGCGAGAGTTAATGCCTTCAGCGATGTTCGAGTTGTTAGCGCGTAGTTGTTAGACAGCTTGAACCGTTGCGATGATCTTTCGGCTGTGAGTGTATTTTTTTTCGGTTATCTCTCGATTCTCACGTGGATCACCGATGCAACTGTATTATTCCCGTTTGAAATTCCTCTTGGGAAACCACCCCGTCGACTATCATGCTCTCGAGCCATCTTCCGCGTGAAAGCTAGAAAAAGTATTTCTCGGGCGTCATTCTTTGGACGAAAAAGATCGGCAGAATAAACGGCTCGGATAAGTGACAAGCGATTAATGGAGTCGCGAGAGTGGCTTTAGAGGTTCTGTGTCGTCACACGAAAGGTATCGAGAAGAGAACTCTGGACACTGGTAGTATCAGGACGATTTCGGGCCGCTGTTCTTTTTCAAACCGATCAAACGGTTTTGTAATCTCTATCGACCACGCAGGTCAAACTTGCGCGCATTTGTTCGTTCCGGTTCGATCACGGTATTATTATTTCTCTTAAACGTGTTTCGTTTTCCCCCGTCGGAGGCCGATGCGGCCTTACCTAATGTGGCCACTGTCACCACTACTGCTCTGCCTACTGTGCTGACTGTGCGAATTCAGGGACCCGTATCCCGATCCTTTGCTCAGCTGGCTGGTGTTGCTGCTGTTACGAGAATGACCGGACTCCGTGTGCGCTTCAGCGAGTGTCTCGACCGGAATAGCCGACGGTACGATCTCGCTGAGTGTCATGGGATCGTACGACTCCGCCCCGCTGAGAAGCTCTGCAAAAAGATAACACGACGTCAGACACAAACCCAACAATAAATACAGTTATCTTTGACAATGAGTGTTCAGACTTTATCTCCACCACTGAGGGGATCCCCCATGAAATCCCACACCGCCGAAGAGCCATCTAACACTCATCGATGATTTACTGTACTGTATTCCACACGATTCACAACAGAAGAATAAAGATGACAGAGAGGTTCTCCCGTCGAGTTTATTACCCGAGGAAAAGAGGGCGGGCCTTTTTTTAGGAAGACTGCCGAAACCGCTGCTCGCACTGGCTATACTACCGGCCAACGACCCGCTTGAGACATAGTCCTCCCGGTTGGTACACCTCTCCGTCACAGTCACTTCGTCCGCGGTCAGTCCAGGAACACCCGGCACGCCGGGTACAGCCAGTTGCGTTTGCTTCAGCGACGGCGACGGTCTGAAAGAACGATTCTTATGATACTCCATTCAACGGATATAATCCTTTAAAACACCCTACTTTATTACTCTCAATGCAAGGTTCGTCCAGGCCATAGGTTCCCAATGTGGGCGCTGAGGAAATAGGGACAGGGCGATTCAAGGAATCGAAGCTTACACTTTAAACAATATGTCCCCGGACCGCATGTTCATCTTGATGGCGACCCGTAGCATGGAGTTGTCCTGCCGGTGTCTCGCGTCGTAGCCCTCCAGAAGGTACCTCGTTCTGCAGAGTCCAGCTCCGGCGAACTCGGCGAGGTTCAGGTCAGTGAAGCCAAGCTTCTGGAAGGACCTGCCTCCCTTCAATTCCTGCAATATTAGGCACCGTCGGTTAGCAGGCGAACACGGTATATTTCGACAGGTTATAATGTTTAAAAGAGCAGTCACCTTTCTGACGGATATCCTCAATATGCACGGGTCGAGGACACCGGTGGAAGCGTTCGCGCTCATCTTGCAGAGGAACTCGAACTTGGCATTCCACCTGACCGTGTGCTCCTGTACCTCTTCCCTGAAATCAGGAGGATTTACAAATGTTAGAAGATCGAGCAACCGCAATATCATATATTTTGTGTTTAATGTATTCATTTCTAATGCCTGAATACAAATATATATATATTTTTTAACCCTCGGAAGGCTTCTAGATGGATTTTTCAACGAAATTTCTTCATGATTTGGTTTTCTTTTCACCTGTATCAATAGAAACAATTACTAACTGAAGCTAGTCATCGCAAGCTGTTCAGTTGGATGTGAAGTTCTTGAAAAGTCGACCCGGTATTTCAAACAAGAAAATAAATAATCAATTTCCATGCTGCGAGAGCTTTTCGAAATTCTTGAGATTGGAGATTCTACCCGTGTGACCTTAGATGTGGAGGATTCGACTTGGGACCAAATCTCACGACACGATGTTCGGGTGAACCGAATAAATCTGAAGGATTTTTGTGGATTTTCCGAACCACTTGCCGTCTATAAGCTACCTTGGCCCCTTCTTCCGTTAATGTCATCACGCACCCTTCTTGCCACCAGGAAGAGCCTCAGTATCGACCTTTAGGCGGTGCAAAGAGGGGGAAGAGAGAGGGAGAGAATTTTCAAGTACAATACGTTGGTCAAAGAGAACGGAATAATAAAAACACTTGTCTCGAAGGGACGGAAGGAAGGAAGGAAATCGATGGGGAAACTTTTCCGTTCTTATCCGAGAGAGAAATCGACGGGAGACAATTCGTTGTAGCTAGACGGTAAGAAGCGAAAGAGAAAAGGAAACTGGGAATCGTCGGAAGTGTACCTGGAAACGATTTGCCATTGAAAATCAATACATTTCCATACAGATGATCGAGTCGTCGCAGTTGTTGAAGTGGAACTTTGTGTAAAACGAATCACTGTTCCGTTTGTTAAAAGCGTCTAGTCGACCGCGCGTATTCTCTGGCGTAGAGCTCGTTAACGAGATTGGACGCGGCTTAACAGCGTGTTATCTGGAACCATGGTGCATCGACGAGTCGAAAAATCACCGCGGTTATTTCTATCCACAATACGATTATACGCATCGTATGACCCGTGGAGCCTAGGCAAATTCGAGGGCGTAAGGACAAAAAACGAATTTGAGAGAGTTTGAAGCATTTCTCCCTATAAGATTATTGTCTCAGCGCGGACCCAAGTTTGGGACAATAATCGAGAGGAGTCTGTAGGTAGCCCGTACTGACGAGTCCACAAGCAGGCCCAGGACGAAACGCTCCCTCTCCTTTCCTTTCGACACCTCTAGCCTCAACAGCCGCCAAAAATTTTTTTTTTTTTTTTTTTTTAACTTTTAATCGAAACTGTGTCCCCTAACGGCGCGACTGAAGGTCGGATCAGTGGATCAAGAGGACGTCGACAGAACGAATTATCAAATCATCACACCGCGCCCGTATACAGAATACCGATAACAAATTATGCGTGTCCCGCTCGTCGCGTGCGACCAGCCTGGAAGAAACGGTGGGAGCCCAATAAAACCAAGACGACACAGATTATTAACGATCAGTCGTTCCCGAAAATGCAATTAACCGACACAGGTGTCCGTACTTGTAGCCACACCGAGTCTCGTTACAACAACTCGTTCAAGGTTAATCTCAACTTCGACGCATGTACAGCGAAATGGGAATTGCAAATCAGCTGGTTCGCGGGCAGTGGGGGACGGGAAACTGGGACACCGGATCCCGAGGAAGATCCAGAAGCTAAATACGCGGACATAACGCGACGGGCGCGTTTTCGAGGTGTTTTAATGAACTTCTTGTCGTACAGCAGGTTCGTTTTTGCATTCATTTCGAACAGTTTCGTTTGTATGTGCAACGTCGTTTTCGATCTTCTAGAGGGGGAGCAAAGGAATCGGTATCTCCGGTGTAACTCGGCCAGAGGGCGGGGCAGGGCGGGGCGGGCAAGGGATTCGTGACGAGGCATTGGGTCGACGAATTAAGGGGGTTGGGAGGGAACAGGGAAGAGAACCGTGTTCTCGCGAGCCCACCTGAATATCGATGTAACGAGAACAAGCTACCGCCTCCCCGCGGCGTCAATGAGAAAGAAGCATCGTCACACCGAGTGCGTAAAATCCCGGTCGGGCAGCGGAGTCTCTGCAATTCCGGCCGACCCTAATTCCGTCATATTTTCCATTTGCTTGTTCGAACCTCCCCCGACACGAGCACTTCCGCGGTATCTAGCATCGAGGGACTAGGTTAAACATGTCCGTGACACAGGAAGTTATGGTGTATCGAGCTTGGTTGTCGACGACGGAAACCACTACCGTTTGGTTAATGGACGACGTTTATTAATATCCAATGTGATCCACTGTGACCCTTTAGGCTTCTGAGCTTCCAACTATAGTCCGAACGATGAACTGTAACGTACGATCCATAGGTAGAAGTATTATCTATGAAAATTTAGATTCGACACGGGGATGCTTTCTATTATAATAGGGGGCAGCAAGTTTTGAGAGGGTCAGACGTTTCCATCCTTCTGACAAGGTAAAAACTTGAAGGAGCTCAAGGCCCGCCAGCAGATCCATTCGATGTGCCAGTAATCAATTCTCTTCTGTTCTTTTTTTTTTTTTTCATGGATGGCGTAATCCGAACTCCCCAACGATACTTTCTCGTGGTACAGAGCCATTACCTGGCTACAGAATTTGATTATCTGGGTGTAACCCGAGGATATCTTAGTAACTCGTGAAAACAAGGTTTAATGAGACAGTGATCTTCACTTGTTCCCATGGTTCTCTTGATCAACGAGATTTACGCTAAAATCGTTGAAGCCTGGAGACAATATCATTATTTTCGTCATTCAAGTAATCGATAGGTATTCGATATTGAAACATATATATGAATAACAATTTAATTTTCGGAACATAGTAAAAACTAAATACTGAATAACAATTTAATTTTCGGAACATAGTAAAAACTAAATATGGTTCAATTATGAAACCAACAAGAGGGGAATGGAACGAGATACAGACACTGGCGCAGCCGGTGGCATCGTCGACGTTATTCGACCGAGTGGTTGCTCCAAATACGTCAGTACAGTGGTCGACAAATGTGGTCCGCAAACGACGCCGAAAAAACGTGACGCTCTCCCGGTGGAAAGCAAAAGGAACAGCAGCGCGAAAAGCATTCCCCTCGTGTCCCTTTGAAACCAGATACTACGCCGCGTGTATCGAAATTAGATCGCTAATGAAACCTAGTCGAGTCCAAACAATTGTATTTACGGCTTACAGACACGGTGGGAGGGGCGAGATTTTAAATTAGCGACGCGAACATTCGTTCCTGTTGTATTCTCGTAAAATGCTCCGAAAACGTTGGCCGAACGAAAGGGTCAGTCTGCTCACGCACGCTCGTTGGCCAGAATTTTATTCGAATAATACAGAGTGAAAAGCAGCCGTATCTAAGGGTGTCGTTCTGAGCTTTAAACAGTTAATGAGATTAAATAATTGATACATTCATAAAGAAGTATTATTTTATCAGAAAAATTGAAGTTTCCACGTTTACATTTTTTATCTATTATTCGTTGTTCGAAACTGTTTATCTAGATAATGAGTTTGCCCATCTCTGCATTTCGCCTTCCCCCCCAACGGGATTAAAGTATTTCGTGATATCAAATCGCGGACAATGCGCACACGGCATGTCCTTGCCGCGATTAAGCGCGATCCATAGAGGCCTATTAAGCTGATTACTGTTACCGCTTCGTGGCCAAGCTTTTGCGCGCGACAGATTTACACGCAAAACCGGCGAGACCAGGTCGAGTTCCTCATCGAAATTGACATTGTATATTGGAACATATACCACCGAATCGGAGCACGAGTTGTACAGGGTATTTAAAAAAAAAAAAAAAAAATGTAAAACACTTTCATGGGATGCATTCTATTTTTTACATATCAAACTAAGACGAAGCTTAAAAATGAAATACGTGCGTGAGATATGTCTGACGCGACTGGTTTTATTCTACTTGAGAGGCCCGTTCGTCGACTGTTTCAGACTGGTGTCATTCGTGTTTCTGCCAAATGTATTTTGCCTGTATATTCAATAATTAATTATTCGTCAAGTGTGCACATTCAAGAAATATTCTTCCATTATAAAAACTGGAATTTTCCATGTTCAATCGATGAAACATAGCGAAGCACCATTTTTTCGTCATTCGGTAACTTTTTAACCGAATAATGAATTTAAACCCGCCTCTGTCGTCGGGTGCTATCCATCGTGCGTAGACGCGACTTTCACCGATGGTCACCCGGTATAATTCACGGACCACAACGACTGCGAGTGTTGCACTAGCCGTGGGCAAGGCTGCTCTCAAGGCTGTCCGGATTGTGTGTCATTCGCGGTTTCGCAATCCAGTTCAGATGAAAACGCACCACAATCCAGTCTCTCGCTGGGCCGTGCACCTTGCTTTCCCCTAACCGTGCGCCTCCCACTTTCTCGACGTACACGCCACCTGGTCTGTACAGTGGTAACGTTAACCGATTATTCTGAAATATTCCAAAACTGGTCGATCATCCGTCGATCTAAACCGGAGTTCTTTGAATAGAATAACACGTTGTGTATCCGTGCACGGTTTCAGAGTTATTACGTCCGGTTTTGGACAGGTTTTTCCCGATCGTGAAACGGAGGGAAGGCCAGATTTATCTCACCCAGTCGTTTCTCGAGGTGTTTGCTCAGACCGCGAGTCGGATCATGTCTATTTTCGTTTGATCATACCGCGCGTCCGCTTAACATCCGGTCTAATCGTCGGAAGAACGAGAATCGATGTATGTTACCCATGAGGTCGGGATGTCGTGCAGGTCGAAACGGTAAAATCTGAAAGTGATGTATCCTATTTCTGGACTCACCTTGCACGTGAACCTCTACCGTGACGACATACGGTAGAATTTCACGATATTTCACCTGGCTAAAACCCCTCCCCAGCTCCCTCGATTCCGCAGTTCTCTCTCATTAATGAAGTATTCGACGTTATCGCAGCTAATAA